GTTCTGATTCCTGAGGCCTTCGGAACCTTCGGAGTAGGCGATCATGCAGGCTGTATTGCAACTCTTTTTGATCAGATTCGGCCCTTTGTGTGAGGCCCACAGTTGTTCTGGCGCTCCCTGCCTCGGGACTCCCAGTGCGCTGCCTGGCGATTTTTGTCGGGTCCCTGGTGGTTCGGGCACCCCCTGGGATGTGGGGCCTGTCGGGGGAAACCATCGGACCCGTGTTCCGACTAGCCAGGGCGGTGCTCAGCCAGCCAACCCGTGTTTTAATTTGAATCCAGGCGGACCTTTTACCCCTGGTGACCCGTCCTCGGGAGCGAATGGGGTGTTCGCTCCCTCCTCTGCGCTTGCCCTGTGCTCTTGGAATACACGTGCTCTCTTCTCTTCGTACTCTACGTCGTCTCCATTGGCAGCTAAGCGGTACAAGCAGATGCATGGTCTTGTCGGCAGGTTCGACGTTGTGTGTTTACAGGAGACTCATGGCACAGCGTCGGATGTGGAGATGTTACAGCGGGATGACCGTTGCCGTAATGCAGTTTTTCACCATTCGGTGATCGATCCGAGAGCTGGGGGTGGTGTGGTTACTGTCTTCTCGAGTAAGCTGGCTTCGCAGTTTGAATCGATTTCTTCGTTCCCGTTGATTGCTGGCCGTGTTCTCGCTTCGCACCTGAAAGGATGTCGTGGGGACTTAGTGATTGTCAATGTACACATGCCGAACACCTCGGATCATGTTGCGATGTATCGCAGGTACCTTTGTGTGATTCAGGCTTTCCTTCCTTTGGCTGCGCACACCATGTGCTTGATTGCAGGGGATTGGGACTTCATGGAGGTGGAGGAGGGGCGGTTCCGTACTGATGGCGCGTGGCTAGCAGGAGATAGGGAACACGCCGATGCATTTCAGTCTATCCGTGGGTCCTGGGCGGAGCTTTTCCAACCTGATCCGACGCGGCGGGATGTGTTCCAGGGAGAAGTTCGTGGGGTTGCCCGCCTGGACCGCATCTACACTTCCCTCTCTGCACCCGTTCTGAATGACTTAGCAGTGACAGTTAATACCTTGGGACATGCAGTGAAGACATTCGCCCCGTCCGACCATATCCCCGTTGTTGCTACTGTCGCTCTGAGAATGCCACCGGCGTTACCCACCCAGATTCCTAAATGGATTTCCCGTCATTGTGTTTACCATGAGTTGCGTGCCAGCGCTATTATGGAAATCGGCCAGGATCTGACCCCTCGGGAGAAATTGGCTCGGGTGAAGGAGATTTTCTGGCAGATGGCCCCTCAGTTCAAGGCTCGGCTTCGGATGAAGCCTCCGAAGCAGAACTGTGAGAAGCTCCACTTTGCTATGATGGCCTTCCGTGGGTGGCGCATGGGCAGGTTCGGACCAGTGTGTGCGCGATCCGTGCGTATCCTCGGTTGCTTCAGTACTTCGATCCTGACCATGAGAGATGCGTGGATATAGCAGGATTGGGTGCTTTGGTGCAGTCTCTGAAGGATGCTTGGTATGAGTCGGAGGAGCGGGCGATGGACGGATGGGAGGAGGACGAGAAGTCTAAGGCTAAGGCTATGGCACGCTTGCACACCTTCGTCGAGCCTGGTCCAAGATGCGTCGGCGATACGGGCTCTCTGGAATCCTGGACAGCGCAGGGCAAGTTTGCCCTTCCTCTGCTGACGGACCTCTGCTGATCGGAGGCCCATGCCCAGCCGATCCAGTTTGACTCTTCGCAGTGGAAGTTGGAGGTCGACGGTTTCATAGAGCGGGCCCAATTCAAGCATCACTCTGTTCCTGGGGAGGATGGCATCCCGTGCCGCCAAGGAACCCGGGGGGGGCTTTTTGGGGGAATCCTCGCCCATGCCCAGCCGATCCAGTTGGCGCCTCGCAGTGGAAGTTGGAGGTCGACGGTTTCATAGAGCGGGCCCAATTCAAGCATCACTCTGCTCCTGGGGAGGATGGCATTCCGCGGGTGCTGGAAAGCTGGGGGGGGCGTTGAAGTTCTTTTTGCTGTTTGTGAGGAGATGTATCAGGCGTCGGGGGGTACTGTCTCTGCGTGCATGCGTCGTGGAAGGATGTGTTTTCTGCCCAAAGACCTCAAAGACGACGAGAACCCCGCGGCCCTCGTTCGGTCACCTGATAAGACTCGACCTCTCACACTTGCGAACACCGATGCGAAGCTCCTGAGCGACGCGTTCTCCATCGGCCTCCAGCGGGCTGCTCCGACCGTGATCGACACGATCCAGCGAGGGGGGGTCGCGCGACGTGGGCTCCTTGACAACGTGGTTGGGATTGAATGGTGGGGTCTTCGTCAGATGCTTACTGGTGGGGATCGCTCGGGAATTCTCTTCACGGACTTTAAGCGTTCCCCTCTCTGATCGTCTCCTGGATCCTAGCGGTCTTGGATGCTATGGGTGTTCCGGGTGAAGTTTTTTCTTTTTTTATCGTGAGCTATACCGTGACAATGTGGCTGTTATCAACTTCCCTGGGACTACTGGTATCGAGTTTTCGGTGGAACGTGGTGTGCGGCAGGGAGATCCTGCGTCGATGCTACTCTTCGCTTATGCGCTAGGACCCAGTATTGCGCTGGATGAGGTCTAGGCTCACTGGCCAGGTCCCCCGAATTAGAGCATGCGCTGATGATCTCGCGTTCTGCCTTCCCAACATCCTGACGGACCTTCAGCCGACGCTTTCGCTCCTCCGTAAGTTGGAACATGCGGTAGGACTGGGGTTGAACATTCCTAAATGTAAGGTATTGGTGATTGGCTCGCTTGATCCTGATAGATTAGTTGCCCACCTTCGAGCCAAGGGGAGTGAGTATCATCGCATTGGGTTTGTTCGCGTTGTTTTGTACCTGGGATTTTGGCTTGGGCCTGGTGCTTTGGATAAAGTATGGAGCAATACCATTCCCAAGTTCTGGATGACGGTTCGGAGGCTCCGTGGTCTTGGGCTAGGACTTCCTCAGACTATTCGTCTTTTTCGCTCGCACTGCATGTCGATATTGGCGTACCAGCTACAACTCTGTCCTGTGACTACGGCTCTTCGGAAAGCGTATAATGAGGCCCTTCAGGTGATCACTGCTGGTCCCCGCCATGCCTTCTCGAGAGAGATGCTGACGGGCTTGCGTGCGCTGGGAGCCTCTCTAGAGTGCCTGGACATCGATTGTTTTTCGAAGGCTATCAAGTTTCGGGTGTTGATGTCCTGCTCCAGTATTGATGCTGTCCAGTATGAGATGGAGTCCTTGACGGTTTCCCTGGTGACGATAACTTCATTCCTGCTCGGCTGAGCTGGCCCTGGTGGAAGTCTTCCTGGATCAGGACGACGGTGAATGAAGTAGGCAATTTCTCGATCCCGACCCTGGAACCCATCCCCAATAAATCCCTTCAGGAGAAAGCTATGCGCAAGCTCAGAGGACTCCGCGACCCCACTGTTCCCCTCCGCACCATGGTGCAGAGGGTGTCCAAGTGGGTGGGGCCCGACCGTTTTACTGTTGCTGACTTTCAGGTGCTTGCCCAGAGGATGCGTAGAGTGGAGAAGGACAGCACGATGCACCTCGTCACGGGGGTCCTTAGAGTGCTCTGTCGAGGAGTATGTACCTCTAGTCGTCTGCATACAACGGTGGTGGGCTGTGCATTTGGGTGTCCTCTGGATGTGGCCATTGACGATCTGAGGCATTATCGCGTGTGCCCCAAGTTGAAGGCTGGGTTGACTGACATATTCCCCCGTGGTGGACTTCTGAGGACCTGGGCCGAGGCTCTCACGGGCGAGGACTGGCTCCTCACGCTCTGTTGTCTGGGGCCACAGTGGGGACGGTCACGGGACCTAGTGGGGTGTGCCTTAATAGATTGTTTTTTTTGGCAGCGCACAATGCTCGCAGGACTGGTTCGGTCCAGCCTGGGGACTTCCTGATTAAAGCCAGGCTTCGGCAGTTGTCCCGTCGGCACCCCAGGCTTAACGAGGCCCTTCGTTCTCTGCGGGCGCCTGCTGCTGCTGCCGCCCCTCCCCCTGCCCCCCCTGCTCCCCCAGCCGTGCCTCCCCTCTCCTGAGCTGCCGTGTCCCTTTTCTTTTTGTTCCCCCTTTCCCCTGTGGCCCCTCTAGATATAGGTCCATGCATGATGCTGTCAGACTGTAATGGGACCCTGGTGGGTCTCTCGGGTTGGCTGGCTGGTTTTCCGAGGTTTACTTTCTGTTGTGCCGTTTCTGCACTGTTTATTCTGGTTAATTCAGGGCCCCGTGTTGTAGCCTGGGTTGTGAGAGCTTGTCCGTGCTCTCTGTGACCTCTCCGCTTGCAGGCGAAGACTGGACGGTGCGCGGGAGAGTGAGCCTCTCTTGCCGCGCCGCCCCCCCGCCTCTCTCTGCCGCCTTGCCCGTGCTTCTCTCCTGGTGTTCCCCGCTCGCCCTCAGGTTCCCGACGATGTTCGAGGCGCAGTGGCGGCCTGCCATCAGGTATTCCCTCCCTCTCTGTGTTGGGTTCTCGTTTTTGGGGCGTGCCCCTTTTGTCTGCTCTTGCTTGCTGCGGTGTTGGGTGGGCCCTCGGTCAGCCGTGGAGTGAGTGTGGCTGGGGACGGATGCTCGAGTGTTGATCCCCTTTTGTTCTGTGTGCCTGGGGGGGCGCGCCCGCCAGGGATCATGTACACTCGGAGCAGAGTTCCCGCCGCCGCTTCTCTTTGCCTGCCTCTGCTGCTGCCTCTCCCCCCCTCTCCCTGCATGTTGGCTGCACGGCCCCGTTGCATTGAGATTTTTAGTGCGGATCTGACACGTGGATTTGGTGTGTGCGCCTGCGGTGGAAAAAAACAACTTCCTCCTCCTTCTCCTCCCTCCTCGCCTCCCCCGCGCGCGCCCTCTCGCGCGGAGCCCGACGACGACGACGACGACGACGACGACGACGACGACGACGACGACGACGACGACGACGACGACGACGACGAGGATGACGACGACGACGACGAAGGCGGCTGGCCAGCGCTGCAGGCGCCCGCGCCTGCGCCGCCCGCGCGGCCGCCGGCGAGAGCGGCGGCCCGCGCGGCGGGCGCCGCCGACGCAGCGGGCGCCGCGGCTGCGGCGGGCGCCGCGCTGGCGGCAGGCCGCCCCGCGGCGGAGCGCTTGAGTTTCCTCTTGGGGTCGCTCGGGGGGGGGGTTAGGAGGAGCAGAGGAGGAGGAGTGGAGGAGGAGAGGGAGGAGGAGGAGGAGGAGGAGGAGGAGGGAGGAGGAGGAGGAGGAGGAGGAGGAGAGGAGGAGGAGGAGGAGGGGGGTAGGAGGAGGAGGAGGAGGAGGGAGGAGGAGGAGGAGGGAGGAGGAGGGGCGGAGGAGGAGGAGGAGGAGGAGGAGTGAGAGGAGGAGAGGAGGAGGAGGAGGAGGAGGAGGGGAGGTAAGGAGGAGGAGGAGGAGAAGAGGAGGAAGGAGAGAGAGGAGGAGGAGGAGGAGGAGGAGGAGGAGGGAGGAAGGAGGAGGAGGAGAGGAGGAGGAGGAGGAGAGAGGAAGAGGAGGAGGATTGAGGAGGAGGAGGAGGAGGGGAGGAGGAGGAGGAGGAGGAGGAGGAGGAGAGGAGAGAGGAGGAGGAGGAGGAGAGGAGGCGGAGGAGGAGGAGGCGGAGGAGGAGGAGGAGGAGGAGGAGGAGGAGGAGGAGGAGGAGGAGGAGGAGGAGGAGGAGGAGGAGGAGGGGAGGGGGAGGGGGAGGGGAGGGGGAGGGGGAGGGGGGGGGGAGGATGATGATGATGAGGAGGAGGGGGAGGGTGACAGGAGGAGGAGGAGGATGAGGAGGAGGAGGAGGAGGAGGGGCAGGAGGACTGCGAGGACTGCGAGGACTGCGAGCATGAAAGACAACAAAAGTCTAGGGAGGGAAGGGGCCCACGCAGGCCTCAGGACAGGGGTTACGGTTCCCCACCGTCAGACGTAGGGCAACCAGACGCAGAAGTCTCCTATGCAGGGGGTTAATGGGCCCCCACCGCCAGAGGAGAGGCAGAACACGTACCCGATAAGCCAGTCCACGTGGTGCTCGAAGCCGAGGCCGCTCGCACGCCCAGCTCGTGGTTAAGGTCCGTCTCGACGTAGGCCTGCACGGCGGCGTATGCCTCGTCACGGGCCCGCTCTGCAGTCGCCAATCGGCCCCTGAGGCCATCGACCGTCGCCGCCAGCTCCACGGCCCGATCTGAAGCGATGGCGATGGGGTCGGCCACATCATTCTTGCCATCGTTGTCCTCGTCGGCCCGCTCCTGGGTGTCGGCGCCGACCGCCTCGGTAGTGACCACGTGCATATTCTCCTTGAGCTGCTTCGCCGTCTTCTTCTGGATCACCTTCAGGGAGGCGGATGGAGGAGGAGATGGAGGAGGAGGTGGAGGAAGAGGAGTAGGAGAAGGAGAAGGAGGAGGAGGAGGAGGAGGAGGAGGAGGAGGAGGAGGAGGAGGAAAAGGTGGCCACGGAACAAGTGTTTGGGACCTTTATTGGGGCCCACCTGATGGATATGGTTGGCTCTCGCTCGTTCGACTCCAGCTCGACTCGAGCTCGACTCCAGTTCGACTGAACTAAATTTCGGCTCATGTCGAGGTGTGCTCGGCGTAGCATCGACGCATGTGTGAAGCGAGTGGCTCCAGGAAGGTCCCCAGAACGATCCTCTAAAAAGTGGGTCCTGTTTTTTTTTCGCTGCTCTCGGGCTCCTGGGGCCCTCCCTGGGCCCCGGGACCGTCAGGAAGCGGCTCGGGACCAAGATCTGGTCCCATGGAAGAGCTCCAGGGTCCAGGGCCCGTTTCTCTCAGGAAGCCGGACCTGTGGCAGGGACACTGCCAGGACGCTTCCTCGGGCAGCCCGGAGCTACCTGCCAGGGCGCTCCCCTGGGCAGCCCAGAGCTGCTTGCCAGGACGCTTCCCTGGGCAGCCCGACGGTGCCTGCAGGTGCTCTTCCCTGACGCGCCCGGTGGCACCTCTCGGAGCGCGTCCCCATGCGCAGCCCGAAGGCACCCCTGCGCGTGCGCTCCCCCCCGAGGCCCCCGATGGCAGCTGCCAGGACGCCCAGGTCTCTCCCTGCGCCCCGGGGGGGGGCCCTCGCCGCGGCGGCCCGGCGCGGCTCCGACCCGCGCCCGGCCGGGGCGGAGCCTCCCGGGCGGCGCAGCGGCCCGCAGTGGCCCAGTCATCGCCGAGGCGGGCCCGAGGGCCCAGCCCGCCCAGGGCCGGGCGGCTTCGCTCTCGGGGGCCCGCGGTCGGGAGCTCTCGGGTCGCGTGCCGCGCCGCCTGGTGCTGGCCCCTCTGCGCCTCGGGGGGGCGCGCGCTGCCCGCGTCGCGGTCCCGAGGCGTCCGCGCGCCGAGCTTCTCCGAGCTTCTCCCGCCCCGCGGAGTGGAGCGATACGCTGTCCCCTCGCAAGGCAGAGCGTGTCGCCAGGGCCGCAGTGGCGACACGCTGTCCAAACATTCCCGGCCGTATCGCCGATGTATCGAGGTGAAGAAATAGCCTCACCTGGGAGCCCACCTCGACCGGAGTTCTGTTCGGTCGGCCGGCGGAGGGTCGACGGTGGCGACGGCGGCGACGTGGGCGGCGGCTGGGGTGGGAAATCTCAGGGAGCTCAGCGATCGACGCCAGGCGTGCCCCTGCGTCTCCCGCAGCACGTTCTTTTACCGTGCGTGTAGTAATCGTGCATCACCGCCGCCTGGGAAATCGATCTTCGGGGACCTCGGCAGGCAGTGGGCATGAACACGATTGGGCCTCGGGATGTGGTGCGTCTCCATCTTCGTTGAAATTTCATTTCTGAAAGCAATGACTGTTGCTCCCCCCGCCTGGTGCCCACTCTCGGGGCTCGCGCTTTTTTGAAAAGGGAATCTCTTGCGGCTCAGATAGGGCCTCCGGCCCCCGAATTACAACAACAACAACGGCTCCCGCCTGATGCATTTTCATTCATTTGAGAATCGCGCTCTCGCGCGGAGTTTTCGCAATTTATGCAGGAATCGTGCTCTCGCGTGGGAGGTCTTCGCAATTTATTCAAACGCCGCGCTCTCGACACTCAGGAAACACCATCTCGCTTTGACTTTTCCGAGGATTTGTTTGGGAATCGCGCTACCGCTCGGGACCTCCTCGCGATTCACGCAGGACGCACGCTTCAGCAACCTGCCTGCTCGACCTGGTCGCCTGGGCCCGCCTCCCCGACCCGCACGTTCGGGTTTCACCCGCCCGATCTGCCCGTCTGGTTCTGCCACGTGTCTTCTGCTCGGAGCCCCCGTCCTTTTTTTGTGTTCTTCTCTCTCTCTCTCTCTCTCTCTCTCTCTCCTCTCTCTCGTGCTCCATCCTCCTTCCTCCATTTTTTTTTTTTCCTCTCTCTCTCTCTCGTGCTCCATGCTCCTTCCTCCTCCTTGTCCCTTCCGTCCGCCCTCCTCTTCCCCTGCCTTTGAGGGGGCCGCCCCGAGCTGCAGGCTGCAGGCAGGGATGCCGTGTGCCCCCCCCCCACAGGGGGGGCATCGATCGACCCGCCCCTCGCGCGGCCCGGCCGTCCGGGGCCCGCCCTGCCCGAGACCTGCCCCGCGAGGGGCCCGCCCTGCCCGAGACCTGCCCGCCGGGTCTCGCCGCCTTGGCACCTCCTGCTCCCATAGGCCTCCTCCTGCAGATCTCTCTCTCTCTCTCTCGTGCTCCTCCTCCCTTGTCGCTTCCCCCTCTGTCTCTGCTCCTCCTCCTCTCTCCTCTCTCTCCCTTCCTTCTCCCTCCTCCTCGCCCCTCCTCCTCCTCCTCTTCCTCCTTCTCCCTCCTCCCTCCTCCTCCTCTCCTCTCTCCTCCTCTTCCTCTCCTCCTCCTTCCTCCTCTCCTCCTCCTCCCTCTCCTCTCCTCTCCTCCCCCTCCTCTCTCCTCCTCTGCTCCTCCTCCTCTCTCTCCCTCCTCACCTCACCACTCCCTCCCTCTCCTCCTCCCTCCTCCTCCTCCTCCTCCTCCTCCCCTCCTCTCTCTCTCTCCTCCTCCTCATCCTCCTCCTTCTCCTCCTCCTCCCCCTCCCCCTCCTCCTCCCCCTCCCCCTCGTCTCCTCCCTCCTCCCTGCCTTCCCGGGCTTTCACGGCCGCGCCAGCCACACGCGCGGCAGGTCGTGAAGATCGTACCCCCCCAAAGGGGGTACGATCGAAGACGAGGAGGGCGGGCACAACAGGGTTTGGGATGTACGTGTTACATGGTTCGCGAGCAGGCAAGAGCGAACAGTTTTAAAATGATTGTAGAGCTCATCTTATTTCTAAAATTGGCAGTGTTGATCCCCTCTCCTGTGACAGTCGATTTTTTCAGTTGGATTGTCCCTCCTGGGGCTCGCATCCTGTTTCTGTATCAGGCAAAGTATTGGGTCACCAAACTGTGTTGTTACTCCCCGCGGGCGTTTGGCTCTGAGGACCCTTGGCTGATGGAGCTACGTTCAGGATCCGCGATCCCATGGAAAACCATTATCATCGACCATCTTCCATATCGCAGGCCCAACACCTGTGGCCGTTCCCCGTGACATGAATCTCGAACCCATCTCGAATCAACCCACTCTTTGAGAACACGTCTTTGTCAACATCGGAGACATCCATCTTGATCTTGCTCGTGACCTGCTCGCTGTCCCCGATCATGTTGAGATCGATGATCTCTTCGCTGTAACTCCTGATCGCTCCACTCTGGATGTCCCAATGCTCGGCCTTCTCTGCGTCGTCGATGCCGTGCTCGGGGGCGAAGGCTTTCTTGCAAGCGTTGTTTTGGCTACCTGCGTCGAGCATCACATGTTTGATGCGGTCCTAATCTGGCTCCGTGGTGCCGGGGCCGCTGTCGCCGATCCCGCGCACCGACACCTCCTCCGTCTCGTCAAACTCCTCTGGGAACGTCATGGTAACCTGCTGTCACCAGGCATCATTCTCCTCCCAGGGTCCGCATCTCCATCCGACATCGTAGGGTCCCCATGGGCATGGCCAGTCCTCCTCGTGCGTCAGCTCACTTGAATCGTAACTTAATTCCTTCTCGGCTGTGAGTCCTGCCGTCGTTCTCATGGTTTTCGCTGATGCCGATGATGGTGCTGACGTTCCTGACAAGGATGATGCTGACGATCTCGGTGTCGCTGTAAAGGCTCCGCTCTGTTGCTGAGACTGTACAATCTGCAACGCTGTTTGGGACAACTGAGTCTGATATAGAGCTCCAACGTCCTTCCGATTGGGCACTGCGATTTCCTGTGGCCCCACCGCCAGTATCCTCCACAGTAGCATTGAAAGGAGCTTATGAGGCTAAAGCCCTTCCTGCACTTACCATTCTGCTTGCCACCGCTGGAGTCCTTGCCGTTTTTCCCGTAGCTTTTGCCTCCGCCGTACTTGCTACTTGGACCGCTCTTGCCGCCGTAGCTGTTCTTACCACCGTAGCTCTGGCAGCCGTTTTCGCCGCTGTAGCTCTCGGGCCTTGCCACCGTGGTTGTCCTTGCCACTCGGATTCTGGTAGCTTCGACCGCTTTAGTTCTGGAAGCTGTTCTTGTCACCGTAGTTATTCTTACCGAAATTCTTGTCGCCTTTGCCTCCGCCTTCATCGATGTTGCCGATCTGCATCTCTGTGCTCTCCTGCTGCGATGCTGGTGTCGGTATTGCAATATTCTTCCAATCCTTTTGAGGCAACTTCCAACTTACCACTTTGTTGTGCAACAATCTGCAACGATTGCCGATCTGAGCAGCATTCAACAGTACGTGGCCGCTGAGCTCGGCTGGATAACTGCTACTCATCACTGGTATTCTGATGCCGCCGTCCATCAGCCGTGCACGTGGCTCGTCCGTTTGCCGTGCCAGCTCCAGCCATCTAGCATAACATGTTCTGAATGTCTCGCAGCATGCTACTGGGCTGCTGTCCATGGCCGCTTCCAAGAGTGGCATGGATCGTCCCCCCGTCGTGGGCCTGCATTCTAGGAACAGCAACCATCATGACTCGAAACCACTGCCGGCCTCCGTATTCGTCTTTTCTATGTTCAGGGCTCGCCCATTACACATTGTCTTAACAACCGGTCGATGCCTCGAGACATGACCTCCTGGCGTGGAGTCAGAGCGTCCATGTAACAATTCTCGGGCACGCTCGCTGCTGACTCCAGCAGTGTCCTTGTATTTCCTGGGGGACCCGAGAGGTAATTCGTGAGCTTATACGGACATTTCTCGAAGTGCTCGTCCTGGTCGTCAAAATCTCGAGGCTTGTCGAGGCTCTTCTTGGTGCTGAGCCGTATCATATATAGTTTCATGAAATCCGCATCCGTGATCTCCGACTCTATCGTCGGACTTGTCTAGCAACAACAATCTGTTGCGCTTGTGCGGGAGCCAGCCCGCTTGGGCTCAGAATCCTACTGAAATTGGGGTGTCCCGTCCCTTGCCTTTTTAAACCAGGATGGCTACATACTGACATCAAACCATAATCTCTCTGAAACAACTCTGGATTTGCTCTGCACGCACACATATCATGCTATGCACTGGGAGCTGTACCATAACACTGCGTAGGCCGTAATTGTTGACGAAGGAGAGGGATCGGGAGGTTCGGGCCTGCGTCGCAGAGAATCTCGACGTTTGGGTGCTGGGAGCTTCTTCAACGCAGCTCGGGGGGAGACGCAAGCATCCCTCGCTCCCAGTGCAGGGTTCCGTGCAGCACAGCTTTGGCGGCGGCTGGCGATGACGGCGGCGGCGGCGGCGACGGCGACCATGACCATCGGGCCTGTCCTGGGGTGAGTTTTGGTTTGAATTTTGGGGGGGAAGCCAGCCGTCGCGACGAGAGCTCTCTCAGAGGACCCAACAGCACGTTCAAATCTTTCGATCCTCGACGACGGCAACAGCGGCGGTGGCGACGACGATGATGACAACAACGACTGGGGTGGATAGATGGATGCGCAAGCGATCGAGCAGACGCACGAGAGCAGGGAAAAACAGGAGCGGCCGCAGCGTGAACGCGCTTGCGCGAGAGCGTATGGGCGAAGGAGGCTGATACAGGTTCGAGGATGGATGTGCTTGAGGAAGAGGATGGTGGTCTGGATCCTCGATCCTCGGTCGAGGTGTTAAGGAGTCAGCTTAGGAGGAGGAGGAGGAGGAGGAGGAGGAGGAGAAGGAGGAGGAGGAGGAGGAGGAGGAGGAGGCGGAGGAGGAGGAGGAGGAGGAGGAGGAGGAGGAGGACGTCGACGACAGCAACAACGTCGACGACGACGACCCCTGGTCCTGTCCTGGGGTGCCTTCTAGCCAGAATTCCAAGGGGAACCCAACCGTCGCGACGGGAGCGCCTCACAGAGGACCCCAACCGGCGACCACGACCATGACCACGACCACGACCACGACGACGACGACGACGACGACGACGACGACGACGACGGCGGCGGCGACGACGGCGACGACGACGACGACGACGACGACGACGACAGCGGCGGCGTCGGCTGCGGCGGCTGCGGTGGCGGCGTCGACGGCGGCGGTGTCGCGTGGTGGTCCCCCTCGCCGTCGCCGCCGCCCAGCGCCGCGAAGGCCGCCCGTGCGCCTGGACTTCGACGGCGCGCAGTTCTTCCCGCCGCTGGGACCGCCGGTGGGCCGAGGGAGGCCCCCCGTCCGAGGGCCGTCGGTGGTTCAGGACGGGGTCCTGCGGGAGGGGGTCCCCAGGACAGGAAGGGATCCACGGGCGCTATGGCGCTGTGGCGAGCGCGCGAGTCCCGAGTGCAAGCTCGGCCGCACCAGCCACATCAATTCACGAGAGAAAGACACCCTCGCTCTGGGCGGGAGGCCTCTCGCCAAGCGGCCCAGCACCAGCAAACCCGTGCGGGTCGGGGGCTGGCACCGCACTCGCAGGCCACGGGCACTTTGCAGGGCAAAGCACCCACAAGTCGAACAATACAAAATCCCACTCAGCACGGCCAATGACGGGCGCACGGGCGCATGTACGTCGCCTGAGGCACCTCGTCTTCGGGCCCCTGTCCCCCAGGGCCTCATCTTTGAGCCTCCGAGGCTCGCGGTGCTGGTCGGCGGCGAGCCTGGGGGGGAGGTGGGAGGGGGTTGGCCTGCTCACAAGTCTCGGAAGGCGCGAGGGCTTCTACGAAGCCCCGCCGCCTTCTGAGGAGGGCCGCCGCCTCTCACTTCCCCCCTGGGCTCGCCGCCGACCTGGGTTCGCGGAGGTTTTTGGCCTCTATCGGCCTCTGGGGGCCGTCTTCGGGCCCCAGGCCCGTCAAACACGGATGCAGGGTGAAACATGGACCCCAGGAGGGGTCCAGGGACCGATTTTGAGCGGATTTGCCCATATCTCCCCTTCCTTCCCGTGGCCCCGAGGCATGGGCAACGTTGCGGGGGGCCTAGGCTGAGGAACTTTGATTCAGCGTGTCGCCCCGCCAGTTCTGGCCCACCACGTTCTGGCGAGACACGCTATCCACGTCCCCAATCTCGAGCTTCAACGTCCGGAGCATTTCTCAGCCTTCCGCCCCGCGGAGCAGAGCTGCACGCTAGCCGTTCGCAAGGCATGGCGTGTCGCTAGGGCCGCCGCTGCGACACGCCAAGCAAAAGTTCCCAATCGTAGCCTCCGGAATGCGTCGAACCCCAGGGGCCCATTCATTGCCGATAGGCCCGACAGCCCACCCCGCCCAGGAGTGTGCGGATTCGCTGTCGGGGCCTTTTGCCGATCTATCGGCGACGTGTCGCCGATTGCAGCTGGATGGTCCCCCTCAGAGCTGCGCCCCTCACCGGCGCAGCTCTGGGGGGGCCCAGTTGGAGAAGAGAGGGATGCGGGAGGGGGGAGGAGGAGGAGGAGGAGGAGGGGAGGAGGAGGAGGAGGAGGAGGAGGAGGAGGAGGAGGAGGAGGAGGAGGAGGAGGAGGAGGAGGGGAGGAGGAGGAGGAGGAGGAGGAGGAGGAGGAGGAGGAGGAGGAGGAGGAGGAGGAGGAGGAGGAGGAGGAGGAGGAGGAGGAGGAGGAAGAGGCGAGCGCGCTGCACGCTCGCCGCGCGCTCGCCTCAGCTGCCCGCTTCCATCCCGCTCACAGACCCCTCCTTCCCCAACTCCGGGGCCATTGGAGGTGGATGTCGAGGAGGGCGATCCGCCGGCGGCAGCGGCGGCGGCGGCGGCGAGAGCTGGCGCAGCCTCTGGCGCTGCACCAGCGGCGGCGGCGGGGATGGAGATCGACGCAGGCCTTGGCGCTGCGGCGGCGGCCGCGGAGGCGCCAGGGCGACGGCGGCAGCGCCCGCTGGACGAAGGTGACAGTGGACCCTCCTCGGGAGGCGGACCCAGACCCCCTCGAGTCATGAAAAAATCACGACGGGAGGTTTTTCTACATTTTCGGCCTCCGGGGGCCCCTACCGGGCCTCGGGACCGTCAAAAAACGACTCAGGAGGAAACACCGGTCCTGGGGAATGGGTCCAAACCTCTGGGGGTCGACGTCATGAAAAAATCATGACGTCGGGGGTCTGGGGAGCGTGGACCATCTCTGCCCCCATCTCATGCACCCCTTCCATGTGCGCGAGCTGCTCGGAGGAGATCCTGGCCGGAGCGCCGCGTGTCCGCCGGGGAGGGCCTGGCGCTCGAGTGCACCACATCGGCTGTGTCGCGTCGCAGTGCGGCCCAGTCGAGCAGCTCGCGGGATGGGCCGCCCTGCGGGTGGAAAAGCAGGCGGAGGCCCACACCGCCTTCACGGCAGCCGCCGTCGCAGCTGCTGATGGGTCCCTGGCCGGAGCGGCCCCAGAGGCGGCAACAGGGAGAGCAGGAGGACAGAAAAAGGAGTCAGGCAGCGAGAAGGGAGGAGGCGGTGCATTACGGGGAGTTGCAGCGCATGATGAAGTTCTGGGACATGCTCCCCTGCCTGGGACCGCCTGCGTGACCCAATGCAGACCGTCCGCGTGGTCCCCGCGGCGGTCCAGTACGCAGTGGCCGATTTGCGCAAAGCCCTGTGCGACGCCGCGCTCGCGGCCACCGCGGAGCCGGAACAGACGCGGCTCCTCAAGGCGTTTTTCTTCTCGGACCGCTTGCTTTTCGCCGCGGTGCGCCGGCGCTGGGGGGGAACGCGCGGCCAGCGAGGCGCAACCTTGGCCCGGACTTGGCGAGGCGCATCCGGCTGGCGTGGGAGGGCCCCGGGGCCATTCTATGGCGGGAGACCGAGGGTCCACGCGAAGGCCTCGGGGAAGCGAAGCCGTCCGAAGCGCAGCAGTTGGCGCGGGGCATCCAGAGCATCGAAGAGGCCCTAGCGGAGGAAAACATCCGGGAGGCCCTCAGAGTCGCGGGCGGACGAGCCCAGATGGCCCTGGACAGCAAGGCCCGCCAGTGCCTCCCAAACTTCTTCCCGCGGGCGGCCTCGCAGCCAGCGGTGCGGGCGGCAGACCCAGAGGAGGATGTCGTGGGCCGCTTTTCGGGGGAGCTCCGGAAAGGCCACGCACACGCACCGCGGAACAGAGGGGTTGGGCCAGGCGGCGCGAGGAACGAACGCTGGACGTGGATGCCCCGCCGCGCGGCCGCCTGGGAGAGCTTCGAACGAGTGGTCCTGTGGCTGCAGCTCGGCCGGGCCCCTGCGGAGGTGAAGGGGCCTTGGCTGTCGGCGCGGATCCTCGCAGGGGGCTGGGAGGAGCATGACGAGGTGCGGCCCCTCGCGCTGGGGGTCGTCCACAGGCGCGCCGCCTCGTTGGCCGTCAGCTGGATGTTCACTGGAAGGGTGGCCGCGGCTCTGGGGCAGAACGAGTGCTCGGTGGGGAGTGCCCGGGGTGCAGAACGCATGCGCAAGGCTGCCCTGCTCGACCTCGACAGCCGGCCGAGCTGCTGTAAGGTCAGCTCGGACGTGAGCAATGCTCACAACGAATTTGACAGGGCAGCCGCGGCGACAGCCGTCTCGACCCTGGTCCCAGACTTGCTGCCCTGGGTTTGCCTGGGCTTGAGCACGTTTACCACGCGCGTGCACGTCTCGCGCGACGGCGCGCGCGCCCCCCCCCCGAAGGAGCGCGGCGGGGACCGGGGGGGCGCCCTCACCAACCAGGTGCTCCCTCTGCGCTACCTTGGGGTGGCCAGGGCCGTGGAACAGGCAGAAGCCGCGGCGACTGAGCCAGCGAGGGTTTACTGTTACGAGGATGACCTGGACGTCATCTGCGACCCAAGCAGAGCCGATGCCGCCGAGGAAGCCTTCACCCACGCCTGCGCCGCGGCCAGTCTTCGTGGCAACTCGGACAAGACGAGGTTGAGCCTGGGCCGAGATGTCAGCGTTGCGGCGCTCCCTGGGCTGCGCGAGCTGGAGCCCCAGGCTCTGGTGCTCGGCCGCGGTGCTCCGGGCCGTTCCAGCAGCGCCTGCCGCCGCGCCGGCCGAAGGGGGCCTCATGCCGCGGGCAGCCCCGAGGTCGCCGCGCTGCAGACCGCCCGCGGGGGGCTTTTCCAGAGTCTTCGCGCCCTCTGCGTGGCGGGCCTGAACAAGCGCGTGGCCGTGGTGTCCCTGCGCACAAGGGCGGGCTCTGACTTCACCTTCGTGGCGCGCGCCCGCGGTTTCCCGGGCGAGGAATCGCGGGCCCTGGGCCGGGCGCTGGCCGCAGAGTGCGAGCGCGCTTTGGGCGCGGCGCTGGGCGACGCCGCGCGCCGGAAGCTCTTCCTCGCTGGCGCGGGCGGGGGCCGCGGGCTTCCGAGCGCGGAGCTTGCGGCCCCCGCGGTGCGCGCAGCTTCTTGGCACCTCTGCTTGCCGCGCTGCCTGCAGCGGCTGGGCCTGGAGAGCGGGGGCGCCCTGACTGCAGTGAGCCCTTGGGCGCGCCGCAGCCTGCCGGCGGCCGCGGCGACGCTCCGGGCCGCCTTGGGGGGCCGCGCCGCTCGCGTGGGCGACGAGGCACTGACGGCAACGCAGCGCGCTCTGGCTACGGCCCCTCTCGCTGCGGCTGCCCGCCTCGCCGCTGACAAAGCGGCTGCGGGCCCCCTGGCGGCGGCCGCCCTGCGCTAGCTCTGCGGGTGGGCCAAAAACCAACGCTGCCCCCCCACTGGCTGACCAGCGCGCAGCTCGGCACTGCGCTGCGGCTCCGGCTGAACCTAGACTTGCCGGGCTGCGCGGCCACCCCGCCGGCGGCGGGCGCAGCGGGGCCGCGACCGCCGAGGCGACGCGCGGCGGCTCGCAACGCTGACGCGACGCCCCGCCTGAGCCCTTGTGGCGCTGGGCCGCGCGGGCCGGGCAGCGCGGCCGCTGCTGGCAGACTGGGGGCGAGGGCTGCAGCCGCCGGGCGCGAACTGGCCGCGCCGCCGGCGAAGGCTGCAAGGCGGCGGGGGCTGGGCGGGCGGCGACGGGCGGCGAGGCGCTGGGCACCGGGCGGGGGCCGCGCGCCGGCGACGCCGCGGACGTGGGGGGCCAGGCGCGCGGCGCGCAGCCGGCGACGCTGCGCTGGCAAGCTGGAGGCGGGCGGCGCAGCCAGGGCCAGCTGAGAGCGAACTGCCGCGCGGGGCCTGCAGGCCGCCGAGGGGCCCGGGGAGCGCCGCTACCGGGTCGTGGGGGTGCGCTTCGTGCTCCCAGGTAACGGAGTCCAGAGGCCCTGGCCGGCGGGCCCCACTGGCCCCCCTGGGGGTCGCTGCTGTCATCGACGGCCGGCTACCCCTGGCGGT